CTCGAGTCAACAAGTGGTTGATTCAGGAGAGCCTATGGTTTTATATTGGGAAGCTTTGGAAGACTGGTGGATAAATGATCATACTAAAGTGTAAAAGTGTTTAAAATATGATTTATATGCAATAGTGATGATTTAGCTATGATATACTACACATATATGCTATAATATGGTTTTTATTGCTTTGACATGATTATTTATGGAAATAAACATTAAATAAACTACAAAGGTTATTGAGATTGTTATCTTACCCATGGTTATTCACATTTTCTAGTTCTGGTACTAGTAGGCCGAAGGGGAAGTACATAGGCAAAGTTGACATCTCTCGCCTATGTCTTTGTAAGAAATAGTGCAATGATTTTGTAGATTGTTAGTAAAGACTATGTATAAGTTGTCTTAAAACTTGAGCATGTGCATGTTAAGGTAAAAGTTGTATATGTGGTATGTTTAATGATTTTAAGCTCCCTAGTTCTTTGTATATGTGTGAATGATGAAATGACTGGATGGATTAGTGGATGAATGTATATGTGTGTGAATATGTGATGCTTGAAGTAGATGGATAGTGATTTGGCCTTGTATAAGATTAAAGAAATAAAAATGTGATTTGGCCCAAAAGTGTGAAATGGGTGGTTTACAAGCCAAATATGTATGTGTATCATATTGTACATGTGTGTGGTTAATTAGGTATGTATTGTCCATTTGGATGTGGTTAAGGCCTAAAATATGGCTAATGACATTTGGTTTCAAATTGTGACACTTGAGTGGCAAGATTTTGGCAGAAAATAGTCAAAATCACTTGAGTGTTCAATTTTTGTTAGAAATATCGAATTGAAATGAAACCCAGTGTCATTAGTTAGATTTCGAAATAAGCTTCGTATAGGCACTTGAACCATCCTAATCAGACATCTGATGTGGAAATGGCATACATCTGAAGTTTGCCTCATAAACTAACAAAATGATAACAATTTCAGGTGTGTGTACAGTAATGCATGTACCCGCATGACGTAGTCCACAGCACAGAGTGAATGGATGTGGTCTTTGTGCCACATGCAGTGGTGCATGTGGCACGAGCCGTAGTGCACGATGTTAAATTTTGACTTAATTTTGCTACACTGCACATGTTTTTCTTAGTATTCGATACCTGTATACTTAATGCTTTCACTGTGTATAGGGTTTTATAACCTAGGTGATTTATAAAATGATTGCTGGAAAAATTTTATTTGGATCCCAAAGTTTTCAAAGTAAATGATTTTGATTTGATTAAAAGATTGTAATAGAGCGTATGGTAATGTCGGCAAAAGGCATTGTACTAGTCTATAAATAAGATAGAAAAGGGATGTGCCTTATAGTTTTAAGAGAGTTAAAAAAGTTCTCACAGCCAAACACTTTGAGAGCCACAAAACACCCTAAGAAAAAGTAAACTAACGTTCAAAGATAAACAAACGTTGGGAGTGCTAGCATGGTGTTCAAGTTAAAGAGTTATCCTATAGATATAAGTAGAGGGAGTAGATATACATTGTCAGCTCCTGAGATCATAACTCTTAAAGAGAATACACATGAAGCACAAAAAAATAGGTAACCTTTCTACCCACCTTGACTAATATGATTTCATTCGGTCTGTATTAGGATAGGAAATTTTAAATTTTAAACTTCCACTATGCCTCCTTATCCAATAAAATATGTGTAAGTTGTGCATAGCATGATCATTGGTGGGAGTTTGCCTAAGGATAGGAGTAGATTGGTAATCCCACATGGTACTAGTGGCTTACTGTTAGAATTAAAAGCTTGCCTTAGGACCAACTGTTGGAATTGAGAGGTAGCCTTCATCCTATGGTTGATTCGTGTAACATCTTGGCCTTTAGTCCCAGAAACTAGTTGCTAATCAAGGGTAAATTAGTAATTAAGGGATTGATTGTGGTTTGGATGTTAAGTTGATGTTTTGTGTTGGTTGGGTGTTGCATTGATAGGATGAAAGGGTATAAAGGCAATCCGGGACAGATCGCATGAGCACAGGTGAGAGTTTTCTCATTGTGCCACATACCATGATGGAAGCTGCGTGCACTACAGCACACCATCCAAGAATCACTTAAAGCCAACAAGAACAGTTTGTGAAATTAGAAGGGAAAAGGCTGGATATGCAATTGGAGAGCAAGAGGAAGCCATTTCTACTAGGGCAAGCCATTGCTGGAGTTTGAGAATTTGCCTCGATTAGTAACTTATTCAGTAAGTAACCATAATCCCAAGCTTTAATTCTACCCCTTTTTCATTGAATTTCATCAGTTAGAAAATGAATTATGAGATAGGTGATAATCACAAAGTCCAAATCTAAAATGTGATAATTTCCAGCTAGAAAAATAGATAAAAAATGAATAAAATAATCTAGAAATTCGGATATAAATGGTGCCTCATGAGTTGGACAAATGAGCATGGGAAATGTGATTGAAGATGTCCAAAAATGTGACTTTTCCTTGAACAAGTCACGCTAAGCATGCTCCTCATTTTCCTTATAATTTAGCTTCAATTCATGCACAAAGCCTTATGATGATGTCATCCTATGAAATCTAAGATTCACATACAAAATTCACGCACATGTTCCTTATATTTTATTTAATTAATTCCTCTAATTAATTTATGAAATTAGGTTCCATATTACAACCTCTTCGATTATGGAAAAATCATGCCAAATAAGCTCTCTCTTGCTCTTAAATTCTCTAATGAGGTTGACTAAGTCTTTGCTCCTTGATTCCAAATTTGCTTCCTCAAGAATATGAAAATAAAATATACAAAAAAAAATAAATCCTAAAAATATAATTAAAAAGGAAAGAAAAGAGAACTAAAGCCCAAGATCTCAATTACAGTATGAAAGTGTCAAAACAACCATCAAATAGCACTATTAGGGTCCATAAAGTCAATAGAGAAAAGACAACTCAAAACCAGGAATTAAACCCTAACATGTACAATTTGATGCCAAAAACTAAGTGTTTAGTATGTAAAATATGTGATAGATCAATTCTCCCATACTTGAATTTTGCTCTCTGGTCAAAACTCTCTAAAAACCTAGAAAAGAAAACATAAAGATGCAAGCTCTCAAGAGTAAATCCAATTCTCAAAGCCAATGTATTCTAATAAGAACTAAATTAATGTTGCAATCTTTAGAGAGAACCTTAATGCATCACAAGTCAACCATTTGCAAGAATGTAATCTTGAAGAAAAACCTCACTCAATTAGTATTTTCACTCTATCACCTTGTAAAAGGGACATAAGTATTACTCAACTTCCTTGGTAAGTCATCCTACCATAGGCTTGTAATCCCTTTATCTCTCCATTACTAAGATGCAAGGGTTCTCAAGAATCATATAGACTTTCAAAAGGATATAATATGCTCAATGAAGGGTAAACTTAGATTTGCATGTGAACGAATGGAATAGATCCTAATAGATGTTATCAATTAGTTTAATACAAAGTAGTCAATTCACATTGAAACATATTTGATGAAAATACATATAATGTATCAAGAAATAAGGTCAAATGTTTAAAAATGACAAAAAAAAAAAGAAAGGCTCTTTTTGGCTAAGCAAAGCATAATCAAGTAATCATGGTTTTTGTTATGCACATGATTTACAAAAGAAGTCTTAGGTGCCAAGCTTTTCAAACAAGATTTTTGAATATATTTTTCTTTATGAATGTGGTGATTATGTTAACCCTTCTTAATGTCAGGTGGTTATTGAGAGAGGTTACTTGAACCATATAAAGTCTTGACTACACATAGATGAATAAGATTTTAGAGAAACTCTTTACCTCACATTCATCCATACAAAAGTAAACCATGAAGAAAGATTAATTGCACACGAATGAATGAAATATTAAGGGAACTCTTCACCTTACTTATGTTTGTGCATGGATGGAGATGAACTATCTATGACCACACATAGATAAAGAGACAGCACATATAGATGGCCCATACTTAATGAGATAAATGTAAACAGTTAGATTTTACTTAAAAGACTTATAAATGATCAGGTTTAAGGTTCCTTAGGGTGCAGAAATCTGTAAATAAGGCCTAGAAACACATTAAAGATTCATTCTATAAAGTCCCTTGGTCTGAACTATAAAGTCTCATCAGCCTGTGCTTTATCATTCCACATCACACAATCAACAATACAAAATTAGAGTAATAGCCTTTTATTTGTTTTCAAAATCGCATGATCCCAACTTTTCAAAACATATATTCAAATAAGAAGGCTAGCGGAAGCCAAAAAATGATTAGAAAACTCAAAAAGCCATAAATTCTCAACCCTGAAAAAGGGCTGTGAGCCGCAGCATGCAACACGTGTGCTGCGGCATGTGGCACAGAACCACTTGCTTTGTTTCCAACTGCATCATGCGCTGCGATAGGGACATTATGCACCTTAGCACACCTGTTTGAAATTCTGCTGTCATTTTGATAGAAAAATGATGAACTTCCGGCATGCACCATTTTCACATCTAATATTCAATTGAAGTTATTCAAGCACCCACATGAAGTTTACGATGTATACTAGCTAATAGAAAAGGTTTGAACTCGATCTAATGGTTCGATCTAAAATTGAAAACCCAAGTATAAAAAGTCACTTTTTCTTTCAAAAACTTGCACCCTAAGTGCTCAATTCTCATCCCTTATCCCATTAGACCACTTCGGGCCTTGAACTAAGTCTAGAAGGATCACATAAACCTAATTATAATCATACATATCAACTATTACATTAATAGCCCATTTTAGCCTCTCAAAGCCATAATACACACTTATGGTCTTACATGAGGAAAACACATAAATAGCACAAATTCACATATAAAACTAGATTTGGTTCACTTTCAATCCTCCAACTCTCACATATGGGGCGCTGCCTCTCCATATGGTTAGGAATCATAAATGTACTTGACTCTTCTAAATAGGGCTTCGCTTTATCATTTGTGTCAAGTTCTTACCATTTTTATTAAGTTCTCATTCCACCACATAAAACACATTCAATTCACAATCAACACACATATATACACTTGTGGAACAAGTTATAATACAACATATACTTGCTTGTTCACATTTAGGCCTATCCATGTGCCCTCCACTAGGGCACCCTTGGCATAATGTAATATCATATATATACACAAGCAAGATTCACATCACAACTCACTTTCTTATATTCACATACATATATGCATCCTAGTTGGCAAGTTAACTCAGTAACAACATTATACATTCATTTCAACTCAAAGGTAGTCATACCACTACCTATTGAGGCTACTCTTTCCTCGCTTCCTTTCTCAGCCTTCTAAAGCTCTCTTCACCTATATTCAAAAGTAATGGAGTGAGACATATATCCCAATAACTCGAAGGTAACCCCAATTACCAGTTAGTAAATAAAATCATAAACAAGTGATAAAGTAGTATGTATATTTCATAAAACAGTAACATATACATATATAGGAATTCATTCTCATCAATCTCATTATGCTCACGCAATGCAGTCCTAGTTCCCCCCGATAGAGTAAACTCTACCCCCAAACTAGGCCCTCCAGTCACAAGGAACAGGGCCCACCATACTGATAGGAAATTAGTCGCTTATCCTCAAAGTTAAGCACAAGCTTCTTTTCAATGCACCTACCAAGCACTTTATCTAAAGAATGCAAGCATGAATCAAAGGACTCACCATACAAAGTAAAATCATCCATAAAGACTTCCATCCAATGTTCAATAAAATCACAAAATATGGACATCATGTATCTTTGAAAAGTACCAGGTGCATTGCAAAGACCAAAAGGCATCCTCCTATAGGCAAATGTGCCAAAGGGGCATGTAAAGGTTGTCTTATCTTGGTCACTAAGAGCTATAGGAATCTAAAAATACCCACTAAACCCATCTAGGAAGCAATAATGGGACTTGAAAGCCAATCTCTCAAGCATTTGATCAATAAAAGGCAAAGGAAAATGGTCCTTCCTAGTCACATTATTGAGCTTCCTATAGTCTATGCACACTCTCCAAGCATTTTGAACTCTAGTTGGAACAAACTCTCCTTTCTCATTTTTTATCACAGTAATCCCCCCTTTCTTAGGTACAACTTGGGTTGGAGACACCCACTCACTGTCAGCTATAGGATAGATGATCCCAGCACTAAGTAGCTTAACAACTTCTTTCTTTACCACATCTAAAATCAATGGGTTAAGTCTCCTTTGTGGTTGCCTAATGGGCTTAGCATTGTTCTCAAGAAAAATTTTATGTGTGCACACAATAGGGTCAATACCAGGAATGTCAGCCAAAGTCCAACCAAACATGTATGTTCTTTCTCAACACATCAAGTAATGCATTTTCTTCCTCAAGAGATAAAGAGTTAGAAATTATTACCGGAAGCTTCTCATTCTCAATGAGATATGCATACTTGAGATTGGATGGTAAAGGCTTCAACTCCAAGGTAGGTGGCTCTACACAAGAGGGAATGAGCTTCTTCAAGTCTAATTTGCTGGAATATTCCATGGTACTATCTTGTCTTTTAGGCTTCTCACTTGTTTTTGATTTCTCCTCTTCTTTCTTTACAGCCTCCCCCTTTTCTTGCAACTTGTCCTCAAGTGCTTGGACTTGAGCCACGGCCTCGACATATGAAAGTGTAGAATTTTCCTCCAATAGCTTGGGAATCCTAAGAACGTCAAGCTCGAGTGGAGAAAAACTCATAGATTCGGCCTTAATGGCTTTAGTACCTACAACACAAGAAGATATACCCTTCTCAAGCATTTCAAGATCAAGCATAGGAGATATTTTAAACAAATCATGAGGAGAAGTAGTTGCATCATTCAAGCATGCATCAATCTCTAAACAAATAGGACAACTATATCCATCAATACATGTAGTAGTAATAAGAGACAAATCATCATCAACATGTGAGAAAGAATCAAGCATGTGAGACTCACAAGCATCATGAAGCAATAACTCAATGGAACTTACACCTAACAAAGAATAATCCTTAAAAGGATGTTTCATTGCTTCATATATATTAAAAATAACATGATCCTCTCACATTTCAAAATCAAACTACCTTTTTCCATGTCAATTAATGTACGGGCAGTCCTCATAAATGGCCTTCCTAAAATCAAAATATCATCCCCACTCCCTTATTTTGACATATCAAGCACATAGAAATCCATAGGAAATAATAGACCTTTAACACAAACCAACAAGTCTTCTACTACTCCATGTGGTCTTCTAACACTTCTATCTGCTAATTGGCATATTATAGGTGTCTTATGCATGCAATCAAGACTCAAGGCATGATAAATTGAAAGAGGCATAACATTAATGGCTGCACCTAAGTCTATCAATGCATGAGAAAAATGTGTGTTGCCAATCTTGCATGGAATTGTGAAGGAACCGGGGTCCTCACATTTTATAGGAAGTTGAGGCTTCATGATAGCACTCACAGATGAGGGTAATTGTACCCTTGCATTAGGCCTAAATTTTCTTTTATTTGTACAACAATCTTTCAAAAATTTGGCATACTTAGGAAAGTTCTTAACTACATCCATCAAGGGTATATTAACATGAATCTTATGGAAGAAATCATATACCTCTTGATCAAATTGTCCCTTCACTTGATTAGGGACGACTTGTGCTTGTGGAAAAGGAAGCTCCTTCATAATCTCTTGACTTTGCCTTCCTTCTTCCTTTCTTGAACTCTCCTTTCTTGTTTCACTTTGCTCGGCCTCTCCCTTTTTTTTCCTTACTAAACAACTCGGCCATAGTCCCCTTTTCCACCTTAGATGGTGGTTGCTCACATATGATCTCCTCAATGTTTTCATCCTCATCATCTCTACAAAAAGATGCATCATTAGGAGCAAAAGAAGAACTAGAAACATTAACATCAATTGAAGAATTTAAAGAGGGCTTCTCGGCCTTCCCTTATCTTTTTTTCTTCTTGCACTCTTTCTCCCAACTCCTTGCCACTCCTTAATGTGATAGCATTAAGATTAGCTTTAGGATTAGCAACGGTGTTGGATGGTAATGTAGAGGCTTGAGCATTGGCTGCACTTAATTGGTTAGCAAGCATATTCATTTGAGAAGTAAGGGTATCAATTTTAGAGTTCATGTTCTCATACTTGTTGCCCATACTCTCTACCTTATTCCCTAAGCCATCATACATGTTTTTATACAAAGAGTTCATTTCAATCAACTGCTTACATAACACATTCACATCATTAGAAGAGTTTGAATTAGAAGAACTCTCAATTGGAACAAGTCTCCTATCACTATAAGAATTAGATGAAGGTGCAAGAGAATTACCACTTGGATTGTAGCTTTGAGAAGAGCTACCTTGAGACAAATGAGGTAGAGGGTCACGACCAAAGGTGTTTTGATAGGATCCTCTTTGTTGATTGTCTTGTAAAGCCACATTTGGATTTGAATAGGAGAAATTAGGATGGTCTCTCCATGAAGGGTTGTAAGTATTAGAATAAGCTCCTTGCCCTTGCCTCCCACCATAGGATTGTTTTCCATTGTAGATAGCATTTACTTATTCAAACTTAATAGGACAATTGCTTTCTACATGCATAGGTGAGTCACAAAAGTACAAGAATAAGGGACAAGTGCTTGAGAAGTACTTACATTGCTCACTTGAGATATTTGTAGAGCCAACATTCTCCCAATCTTGGCAGCTAGCAAGTCCACATATGAATCATTAAGAATTGAAGAACCTACCATATTCACATTTCTCTTTTCCCTTGTAGAGTATTGAGCACCACTTGAAGCCATCTTGTCAATTAGTTCCCAAGCCTTTAAGGAAGTGAGGTCAATTAAGCATCCCCCACTAGCGGCATCAATGTTAACTTTGTCTCTTGAAATCAAGCCCTCATAGAAATATTGGACTAAATTCTCACTAGAAATTTGATGGTGTGGGCATTTAGCCAAAAGGCCTTGGAATCTAGTCCAATACTCATAGAGACTCTCATCCTCTCCTTGTTGGACCCCATAGATTTACTTCCTCAAATTGGTGACCTTGGAATTTGGAAAGAATTTATCTAAGAAGAGTCTTCTTAGCTCGGCCCATGTGCTTACTTTCACATAAGAAGGGTAGTTGAAATACCACTCCTTTGCTAAACCTTCAAGAGAAAATACAAAAGCCTTAGCTTGAACATCATCAACATTTACATGCATAGGCTTCATAGTATCACAAACCAATAGGAGAGTATGCAAAAATCTATGGCAATCCTCTCCTGGTAACCCATGAAATTTAGGCAATGCATTAATCAAAGAGGATTTAATTTCAAATTGAACATTAGTAGGAGGAACATATAAGCCATAAGGATTATCATGCCAATTAGGTTGAGTTAATTGCCTAATACTCCTCTCCTCTCTAGGGTTATGCAAGCCTTCAAATTCATTATTAACATGGCCATCATCATGCAAATTCTCATTCCCATTCCCATGGCCCTCATTATGCACATGCTCATGTCCTAAGATATCTTCCATTATTGAATTACAAACCAAATGAGAATCAAGAATAGGTTGTGATCTTCTCAATCTAGAAATAGTCCTTTCAATTTCTGGATCTAATTCAACAAAAGAGGTATGTTTTCTTCGGGTCATGCACTAATCAAGCTCAAGAAAATTAAGAACAAAGAACAAGCTAAACTAAAATGCAAATCAACACGAAACAATTCAAAACACACAAAAGCAAGAGAAATAATTTTTTTTCTTTTTTTTAATATACTCAATAGCAACAAAATGAGAAAAAAATAACACCAAACAAGTAGAAAGAGAGTTAGAAATGCTCAATCAAGAAGCTTTGGCAATTCTGGAATTCGCACAGTAGGCTCTCTGGAGACAGTGAACTTGTGAATTTTCTAGCAGCAAATCCACATGATAAATTCCCCTGAAAATTTTATGAGAAACACAAGAGATATACAAGAAAATTATTAAAAACTTTCAGATTAAAAATCCTTCCCAATCGTTCCCAGAATTTTTCACAAGTTGGTCCTCAGGTCTGGAGAAACAGGATTTCGTCCAAAAGACCTTTCAGAGCTTCTAACAAACTTTCAAATAGGAAAATGGAAAAACTGAAGAAAATCCTAAACACAAGAAACAAATATAAGACAGTGATAATAAAAATGAAACTGGAATAAATCAATTTGAACGCACAAAGAGGAAGATATGCTAACTCAAAGTTGAAACAGGGTTTTGGGAATCCTCTGTAATGGCTCCCTGGACCTTGTTAGATTGTAAAATTCCCACAGGACACTTCCCACGTCCAAAATTGACCAAACCAATTTTAAAGTGAAGCTAAGATATAGATCTTTCAATGAAATAAATTTCAAGTTCAAATTCCCTCAAACTCATTCCCAGTTAATTTTTTAATTTCAAACGGAGACACTAGAACAGAGTATTTTCAGCTCTATACCAAACCAACGAAAATTGCACTAATTTTTTTTTTCAAAACAGAATAAAAACACTCAAACACACAAAAAACACTAAACAAAACACAAAACACAAATTTTTATAATTTTTCAAAAAATTTTTCAGGAACATTAAAAATGTAAATTAAGTACTAAACAACCTTAGAATTAAACTTAAACCATTCCCCGGCAACGGCACCAAATTTTATAGGAAATTAATCGCTTATCCTCAAAATTACACTAAAGCTAACCCTAATGCAATATAGGGCCAACCCTAGGTCATCTCCCAAGGAATGGTTTTAAGTCTAATTGAAAGTTATCTAGTGAAATGAATCAACCAAAGTTTGTAGGAATTTAGTTACCTAGCTAATTATCTAAACTAATTACCTAATGTGCAAGTAATTAAAATGCTAGTGAAAGTGAGTGAAATGAACTTCCCTTTTTACAATAATGGAACCCTAGAGATTAGTTGATTTTGGACTCATTATCTTCTCATGATTAGGCTAAGTTTAGTTCCCTTTCCTCTTGACTAAAGCTGTCATGACTTAAGAAAATTATCCTAAGCCAATTAACCTAATTAGCTAACCTCCCTAGGTCTTAGATTAAAGTCTCTAGTTCAATTAACCAATTGGTGAAGACATTAGCCAAGTGATTCACTCAAAATCCTCTCTCAACAGCCATGGTCAAACACATAAATTGAGCAACCACAAGATTATGTCAAGCTACTCAACAACACAAGCATTAATACCACAAGATTATGCAATATTAACACAAGAAATTCACTAATTGAAAAACACAAGATTATGTGCCAAACAAAGAGTAGCAAAATTTAGTCATGGCTGTCCAAGGAAGAAATTAAATGAAACAATCCTCTCTCTTTACATCAATATCAAATTCAAATTAGAATTTATAAGCTAAGATGATTAAACCCTAGATTAAGGAATCTAACCATCTAGTAAAAAGAGAAGAGGATAGGAAACAAAAGAACTTAGCCAATTTGAAGCTCAAGACTCATCCTCCATCTTCATCTCTCTAGGATTCCATAAAGAAACTTAGCCAATCTTCATCTTCAAGAACCCTAGTGATTGCTTGTGAAGGCCAAACTCCATAGCTCTTGAATGATGGAAATAAGCTTCAATCCTTGCGAAAATGGAAGGGATGGAACGAAAATGAAGAGAGGAGAAGAATGGTATGAGTTTTGTGGAGGTTTGGTGGCTGAAAATGGAGGTTAGGGTGCTGGAAAATGAAGAACAAAAGAGAGAAAATGAAGAACACTATGAACAAGAGAGAGAGAATGTGAAGATGAATGAGATATGTGTTGGATCCCATTTGGAGCTTAAAATGGCGTGCTCCTTGGTGTCTCCCATCAGCTAAAGCTTAATTAAAATAAGGAAAAAGAAATTCAAATGTAAATGGGAGCCTTGTCACACTTGCAAGGTGGCAACTTCCTATTGGTTTGTAGATGATTCCAATGTGTGCCTAATTTCCCATGTGTCATCCACATCATTTTAGCTGATTTAACCCCTCAAAATAATCATAATTCACGTGCAAACCATCAGCCATTGACCTCAAGGAGTGTTGACCTCAATTGCCCAATTGATGCACAAGTCACATGCCACCTATGTCACATAAATCACATAATTCAATTAAATAGCATATGATATAATAAAATCTAATTCATGTCCAGAATTAAATTCATAATTAGAAGGAGAATTTATTAAATTAACTAAGTTTCAGGCTGCACAAAATTATATAAAATTTCCACAAAGGCAAACCAAAAACTAGGACAAACTAAGACACTTAAGAAAGTGTTGACTTTTTTATTTAATTACTCCCAAACTAAAATAAATTTTAAAAATATAATTTCACCATTCATCAACTGGACATAAAATGCACTTTTTCAATTTTTCTTGTACATTTCTCAAAAGTTCATTTTTGGACCAAAATGCCCCTAGTGCACTGACTTACTAGAAACTTAGGCAAAGTTCCAAATCTAATGCAATGTGTGCACTTGAAGGTGATAACTCATTAATAAAATGGTCCTAATTGACAAATAAAAGTGGGTAACAAATGTGTTCTATCCACTACACTGTCAAACCAGGTCATTTCGTGTAGGTTGGTTTTCTTGATCTGTCATAGTGGAGTCAAGCTCTATACTTAGATCATCGGACTTCCTAGCCTTATATAGAGTAGGACCACCATCCCTTACCCTGGTCAGGAATCTTAGGATCATTAATATCCTAGGTTCGTTGTGACGAAGTCAAGCTCTATAAACAAGAAATGGCTTTTTAAACTCTATCAAGATAGACTTCTCAACTCATTTGATTTTGATTCTTTTGACACTTGTGAACTTATTATTAGGAAAGATGATAAAAGCAGTTTTTACTGGGCATAATGAGAGGACTAATGATTTATTGGGACTCATACATATAAATATATGTAGACCACTAAGTATAACTGCCAATTATACTTCATTAGTTTTATTAATGACTATAATAGATATGGATATATTTACCTAATGAAACACAAATTTGAATCTTTTGAATGTTCAAGATATTCCAAATAAAGTACAAAAGCAACTTAACAAGACTACTAAACTCTTCAATCTATTGAGGAGGTGAATATTTAAGCCACGAATTCCAATAGATCTTCCACCATCCTTTTAGGGCTATGCATTAGAAATAGTTGCCTTCACACTAACCGTGTTCCATCTAACGCAATTAAAAAGATAACATATGAGATATAGATTGGGAAGAGAAACCTAGTTTATCTTTTCTCAAGAATTTAGGGATATAAAGTATATGTTAAGAAATAGGCCTTAAACAAGTTAGTACCCAAATCCACAAAGTGCTTTTGTGGGGTATTCTAAAGAAAAACAAAGGATACTATATCTATAATCCCATTGATGACAAAATATTTGTTAATTTGAAATGGTATCTTTCTAAAAAGAGAATTTATCTCTAAGAGGACTAGTGGTAGTAAGATACATCTTGAAGAAATTCAAGAACCATAAAATAACACAGAGTCACAAATGAAAAATGAGGAAGCAAGTATAAGAAGTAAATAAGCCTACTTAAGTAACACAAGGACCACGAAGGTTTCATAAGACACAGTATTAACCTTAGAGATATGGATTTCTAATCAATGAATGTCGTGATGTGTTGCTTATTGAACACAATGAGTAACCACTTATCAAGAAGCCATAGTGGGACCAAATTCTGAGAAATGGACTAAATACCATGAAGTTGAAATGCAATTCATGTATGATAATAGGGTAGACCTTAGTTGATCCACCTAAAAGTATAAAACCATCAGGTGCAAGTGGGTTTTTAAGGAGAAAAATGGTATGGATGGAAAAGTCAATGTCTTCAAGACACAATTGATTACAAAAGAATTCACCGAAACTTATGGTGTAGATTATGATGAAACCTTTTCCCTAGTCACAATAGCTAAATAATAGAATCCCCTTGCCATTGCAACATATTATTGCTATGAAATACGGTAGATGATGATGTTAAAAACAGCCTTCCTTAATGAACATCTACTTAATAAAGTGTACATGATACAACCTGAGGCTTTGTGCAACCAAAGGACTTTGGTAAGGTGTGCGAACTAAAACATCCATTCATGGATTGAAGCAAACATC